TGCTTGAGATGGCAACAGATGGGAGCTTTCCACACATTCATGAGGTATCTCGATTGTAAAAATTTGAACTTCAAAGGAACCCAACCGACAAAAAAATCTGTCTATACTCAGAAATCATAATAGCCTCTATTTGCCACCACAAGATCCTGCACAATGGAGATCGGTCACTGACGCTACAATCAAAGCCAATCTTTTCCGATATTCCTATCTACCGTATCTATATAGGTGAGGAGGTACGGTATCTTTCTAAGTTTGGCTAAACAAATTCCTTTTTTCAGCTTACATTTTGAAGCTTCCCTCTATGGCAGAACAGTTATCCGACCTCTATTCTATGAATATCCAGAAGACAGCAGAACACACGATTTAGGCAATGAATTCCTTTGGGGCAGTTCTATGCTCATTGCTCCTGTTCTTTACCAGGTTTGCTTAACAGCGACTCCATTATAGGTTCAAAAAAAACGATGATTCCAGGGCGCAAGGAGTGTGAATGCTTATCTACCTAAGAATGACTGGTACTCACTATTCGACCATGAATACGGTCAACTATTTGGAAAAGGCGATCACACCTTCCCTGCTCCGTGGACTTCTCTAATCCCAGTTCTAGTCAAAGGTGGATTCTACCGAAACATAACAACCAAATCAAGGTGAGGTGATTTTAGCCGGCTCGATATTGCCTCGTCAAGCGCCAAATGTCACGACGGAGTACACTCGTAAAAACGCTTTCGAACTGTTAATTGCTCCTATCAAGAACAACGGTATGTTTCACGTTTCTTAACGAAACGAAAGTAGCTTTCAAGTTGTTCCTGTCATATAAATTACCATAATATCTTGCACATAATAAGAAAATCATAGTAAATGGTGCAAAAATAGCAAAGAGATATTTATTAATATTCCGTTTCTTTCCTGCCACTAGCGAAGGGTGAGAGTACGATCTTTCCCGGAAATCGTACTAAGGAAAAACAACGACAATTGTAAAAATAGTAAGGCTCAAAAATATCCTATCCCGTTTCTTTTCTGCCATTAAACGAAAAAGGGGTACAAACTTCCCGAATTTTTAAACAACTTATATTTCTCC